TATTTGGGGTGTTTGGGGTTAAATAAAGACATATTATTAAGAGCCAGGCATTGTGGCACAAACCTGTAATCTCAGTACTTGGAAGGCAGACATGGGAGCATCATGGTCCAACTGGCTCAGGCTAAAGTTCAAGATCCTGTTTATAAACAAGCTCCAGCAAAAAGGGCTAGAGGCATAGTTTAAGTCATAGTATGCTTCAATTATATATTGAAATATATATATATATATATATATATGTGTGTGTATGTGTGTACATACTACCATATATTGAAATACATATACGTATAGTTAATATATTGCAATATATGCATCAATATGTTTCAATACATATACATTTCACTATATAAACTTCAATATATACCATGCGTAAGTATATATACATATACACACATATATGCTATATGTGTATTTAGGATATATATAATATACTATGTATAGGTATACATATTTGTACATAAGTACATATATATGCTATATAGAGAGATGTAGTATGAATTCATCTGCTTTTTATATGTGTGGCTCACATTTGTTTCTCATATTACATCACTAGGGAACAGTACTTGACACATTATGAATGACACTTAGTCCAGATGCTCTTGCCTATCACGTAATGCATACTTTGCCTACCTAATGTGGACTGACATTTTATGGTTTCTCATTGCTTCCTAATGCCCTCTTTCCTCATTGCTTACCACTAGGAAGTAGGTTAAGGTAATAGAAAGAGATGGTCTGTGGTTAGCCAAGTCCTTTTGGGTTGATCATTCTCCTCTGCTAGCAAAACCTTCCCATTGGCTCATCCATCACCATAGTGATCTCTTGAAAGTAGGTCCAGACGATTAGGGCAGGAAGGAATCTCAGGATATTTGAACCCCATATCTTCCTCTATGGATAAAAGAAAAGTCCTCAGAAAATTCAAGAAACAGAGCTAAAGTTGTCTTTTTCACTACCAAAACTTACTCTGCAGATGGGCCTTGATGACTGCAGTAGAGTTTTCTCTTCAAAACAAATGGATGTGCGAAGGTGTGGGAGGAGACATTGTGCGGGTTTATCACTGGCGATGAAGAGAGAAGAGTAGAAAGGATTCATTTTGTAACTTGAGTAGGAAGGTAGGTCATCTGGAGAGAATTTAGTTAGAAAAAAGAAAACTAGTAATTTTCCAAGTGTAGGGAAAATGTGAGGGGAGAAATGTAGGAAAATGGACATGGAGTCAACAAGAGATGAATAAAAGGTTTGCATACCACAGTGAAGGCTTTGTCTCGGAATTACAGCAAGTAGGTGTTCACACAGATGTTACAAAAAGAAACATGCAGGAACCTCTTTGCCCTGTGTTCCATCCATCAGAAATAGCTGAATAGCCTAGATGCTTACAATGGCTAGAATTTAATTTGATTATAAACTAGGCAAATACACAACATTTCTTTAAATCACCAGTTGCTGAGTATCATAATCACTCTGGTGAGGAAAGGGTTTTCAACACAGCATAGGCTGGATTCATTTTGTTGGGCTACCATCACAAAGTATCATCAATCCTAGGGCCTACAAATGACACAATTCTGGATCTAGAAATCTGAAAGGGTCCCTGTCTGTGTCTTCTCCTCTAGTTATTGGATTGGGCAGCTCACTCTTTCTCACTGGTATCTCAACTACTTACCATGGCAAGGACCACAATTTCAGATAAATTCTTGTTCTGAGGAACTAAGGTAAAGACTTGAACGCAAGGGCTTGTGAGTCATACAGAAATCAACCACATGTCAGATACACATTCTGTACATTCTCCCATTGTATTAGAATAAAAGGCTTACCTATGACTGCGTCCTGAAAAGATAGCATAAAGCTATCAGCCACTGTTTCTTCATGCCTCACAAAACTGTAAACCCTAGAAACAGCACAAGAGGAAAACTAGAAACAAGGCAAGAGGAAGATAAACTAGTTTAAGACCTCAGAGGAAGAGGAAAACCACAGTAGGAAAATGTCTTACATCTCCCACCCAACCGACAAAGTGACCCAGAATCAACATTTTCTGACCCAAAATCAGCAATAGCATGTAGTCTGGGAAGTCTCACTTCCCCTGCAGGGAATGCTACCTGGCCCTCTGGGAAAAGGAATTCATTTGGAGTCTCATGAACACTATATGGACAAAAGTGTTATCTTCCGTTTCCACCATGCATGAGTCTCCTCTCTGACAGAAGATATAAAAGGTCCAGTAGCATCACACAATGGCTCTTGCTATAGTAATCTTGGCTGTAAATTTTACTGATCCCATATACCTGAGATCCTAAAACAAGAAACTCATGGGTGAAGAAATGTTCTTCAGTTGAGATGGGCAGAGATGACCACTTTATTCTATAACCCAGGCCAGGGAAGCTTCTTTGTACTTAGGAGGTCAAGACTACCTGACCAGTGAAAGACACCTGGTAACTCAGAGAAAATCTCCACCAGAAAAACCCCATGGGCTGGGCAATGGTGGTTCAGGTCTGTTATCCTAGCTACTCAGGAGGCAAAGATCTGAGGTTCACAGTTTAAAGGCAATAAGGGAGTCTCATTGCACCAAATCAACACAAACAGACAAAAATAACACCACAAAAACTTAAAAATTATTGTAACCTTGAAAAAAAGTTATTGTAACTGCTGCCCACCAAAGTAAAATCTGTAGGACAAACATAAAGAAAGTGATTTCATACGATTCTGAAAGTTTTACCTTAAGGGGCTAGGGGCATAGCTCAGAGGGAGAGTACTTGCTGGGCCTGTACAAGGCCCTCCCTAGGATTGATCCCCAGTACTGAGGATAGAGGGAGGGGATTGAAATAGAAGCTATCATCTCTTACCACAATATGCACAGTGTCCTGCATGTGGATTGAAAATCACCTGACACACCAATAACCAGGAAAGTCACAACTTGAAAAAATCAATATCTAGATGAAGTGAATATTGTAATTATCCGAGAACAATTTTACACCAGCTGTTAAAGAAATTCCCTCGCAATGAAGTACAAATTTCCTAAAAAATGAATGAAAAACAAAATCTCAACAAAGAGTAGTTCCTTAAATGACCAATTTGAAGTTATAAAACTCAAAAATACAATGACCAAAACAAAACTACTGGATGAGCTTAATAGAAGAACAGAGATGAGAGAGGACAGAATCCATGACTTGAAGGATGGAAAAAATGAAATGTACACAACTTGAGAACAAAGAGACCATGGAAAAACAAACAAACAGAACCTCAGGAATCTGTGGAGCAATAAGAAAAGCTCAAAACATGTATGTCATCAGAGTAACCAAAAGGAAGAGGAAAGAGAATGGGGCTAAAGAATACCTAAGGAATAAATGCCTGATACTTTACAAATTCTGTGAAATAGATAAACCTACAGACTCTAGAAGTTTTAGTGGAACCTAAACAGGATAAACTCAAAGATATCTTTGTCACAACATATCATGCTAACTTCTGAAAACTGAGGACAGAAGCAGTGAAAACAGACAGGGAAGCAATGTGCTCATAGAGGGAAGAAGCCATCCTAATGGCAGCTAGCTCTAACTCTGAAATCAAAGAGGTCAGGAGGAAGCAGAGAATTTTCAATTGCAGAAGGCGAAAACAATGCCAACAACCAGTGGCTTCAACAACTTATCACAAACCGGGTGACTTACAATAGAAATTCATTCTTTCACAGCTCTGGGAAGCAGAAGCTCAAAATTAAGGTGTCCAGAATGCTGACCTCCCCCTTAGCCTCAAGGAGAGAGTATCTTTTCATATCTGACGGTTCTGAGTATCCCCTAACAAGGGGCTATAGAACTATAATTCTGCCACCTTCACATACTCCTAATTCTATCAGGATGGTTGTCATTGAATTTAGGCCCCACCTGAAAAATCCATTATGTTCTCACTTCAGGACTCTTAACTGAATTTTGTCTTTTTCTTTTTCAAATTAGGTTACATTCACAGGCTCTCAGAGATAGGACATAGAATTGCCTCCTGTGGACTTCCATTAAGCCTACCCTTAAAGGCTGATAGAACTCCTCCTCCCCTCCCCCTTTCCCTTCTTCCTCTACTCCCCTCCTCTTCAACCTCCTCTCCCTCCCCTTCCCTCTACCCTTCCCCCTCCCCTCTCATCCTCCTCTACCTACCCTCCCTCCTCCAACCTACCCCTTCCCCCTCCCTTCCTCTCCTCCTCTACCTATCCCCTTCTCCCTTCTTCTCCCCCTCCCTCTCCTCCTCTGGCTCCTCTCCTTCCCCTCCCCCTCCTCCCCTCTCTCCCTCCCCCTCCTCCCTCCTCTCCTTGCCTCCCTTCTCCACGTCCTCTTCTTCCTCCTTCTCCTTCTCCCCTCCCCCTCCTCCATTATTATTATTGAATCTGAGGGTGATGCAATGTTCATTGAGGAGCATGATTCATATGTTGTGGGGCTAACACTACTGTGGAGACCCTCACAAGTGCAGAACTTGCTGATTGTCGAGGGACCATGATTAGGGATATATTTTACTACATGGTCATTGAGGATTAATTACTTCTCAGCTATCACAGATTCAAATTTACTGCATTAAGCTTAGTAAAGTGCACTTTTTTGAGATGTGAATTTTCCAGAAGCCAGGAAACTTGAACATGGCCCTCTGTTGGCCTCAATTACATGTTCTTCATTCTGAAGTTTAATAAAGATGGGCATGGGCTGGGAAGGTGGCTCAGTGGTAAAACACTTGCCTTGCATGAGGCCCTGGGTTCGATTCCTTAGCACCACATAAGCAGAAAAAAAAGCCGGAAGTGGCGCTGTGGCTCAAGTGGTAGAGAGCTGGCCTTGAGCTGAAGAGCTGAGGAACTGGGCCAGAGTTCAGGCCCACGACCAGACCTCTCCCCCAAAAAAGAGTAAAAAAACAAACAAACAAAAACAAATAAAAATGGGCATGATTATCTGGCCAATATGCACCTTGGGTATCATACATTGGGATTTCCAAAAGGCACCATACATGTTTTTCTAGAACCTAGGGAGAAGACAGAGTGAGATCAGAGATATGAAGATCCATTAGAAGCCTTGTGTCAACGTATACCAACAACAGGAGGTGTGCATTACCAAGAAGACGTCTGTTTGTAGCTAGTGCCCAGCAAATCCTTGTGGGTAAAGGAACCTGAGCAGCTTAATTGGCTGCTGAAGGAAAGTGCTCCAAACACAAGTAAGAGAATAAAGTGAAGGAATATCAGGAAGGAAGTCTGAACCATGAAAGGAACTGGAAAGTCTACATAAAACACATTCTGTTTCCTCATTATTTTTATGAATCATACGTGATATTTGGAACAAAATATGTAAACTATCAGAGAGCACATATTTAAAAACAAAGAATGTTTAGGTAAAAGAACCTAACAGGTAGTACAGTTTACTCTGTGGCAAAATGTTAATAACAGTGGATTGTAATAAGTCACGTAGGGATAGTTTAATACCCAGAGCAACCATTGTGAAATCAAGAAATGGATATTCAAAAGCATGCCATGTAGGTCAATACAGAACTCTAAAAATGTTCAAGTATCCCATAGAAGATAAGACTACAGACCTGGGAACCAGAGAAACTAGCAAAAAAAAAAAAATACATGAACACCATGGCAGATTTAATCAATAATCACCTGCAATAATGACTTAGATACACCAATCAAAAACTAGAGATTGCAGCAGATTTTTAAATAAACATAATCTTGTGCTGTTTAGAAGAGACTGACTTCAAGTTCAATTTAGGCGTGTTATAATTTTTAATGGAAAATAATGTACCAGGAATATATTAATTTACAAAACACTGAGCAATTTACGTAAGTGACAAAGTTGTAAGGATGAAACACACAAACATTTGCAAGTACAAGTCTGGAATGTTCAGTTAAGATATATGACAACCATGTTATTGACATTGATTGATTCTTTTTTTTTTTTTGTCGGTCATGGTGCCTGGGCCTGGGCGCTGTCCCTCAGCTCTTCAGCTCAAGGCTAGCGCTCTACCACTTGAGCCACAGCGCCACTTCCGGCTTTTTTTGCTTATGTGGTGCTGAGGAATCAAACCCAGGGCTTCATGTATACAAAGCAAACAATCTTCCACCGAGCCACCTTCCCAGCCCCCATAGTTGTGATTTTTGTACTATAATCTTATAAAATATTTCTATTGCAGAAAGTTAAGTAAAAGATAAAATGGGATTACTATTGTTTTTCAGGGCTGAATATGAATTTATGATTATCTTGATAAAATTTCAATTAGGAAAAAATATTTTCTTAAAACAGTGTACTAAACTTAAATGAGTGTTCTGAAAGCTCAATTTAAAAATAGGTAGCCCACTGACATGTGTATGCAAACAAGATGTAACATAACTGCTGCTGTATCACAGAAAAAATGATAGACCACACTGGACTTGCAGAAGAAGCTGAATAGGTTCCCAATGTAAATGGTGGTACTCAGAAACCACAAGCATAGGAGCCTGTGACCAGAAATGCATACATAACTATTTCTTCTGGAATTGGTATAATAGGCTTACACACTGCTGTTTTGTGATCAAGGCCATTGAGACCAATGGGTAATTTTCTACCATAACAAAGCCTGAAAAACAGAACAAGCATTGTAGGAAATGACCTTGTCATGACCTTTGGAATGATGACTGAAGAGTAATGCAAATCCACTAGAGACAGGTGACCAAGGAAAATATACATGGGAGAGAATGGATAGGATCATCTTCCCAGATGACAGGGAAAGTTATAAAGAGGGAAATCTGCAGGTCTGGGTCACTGGTCAGTCCGATAAGGATGAACTGAGTTTCTCCCGTCCTGTTCTCCATTGGTGTTGCCTGAGAATCTCCAGGTGTTCTATATATTGCCAAGAGAACAAAGGAACATGATGATCAAGAACTTGAATAGAAATTGGAAAGTAAAATAAATAAATAAATAAATAAGGTAGCAAAAATTGAGTTAGCATTGTTTTCTCCTTTGTTTAAAAAGTAATGCAAAGAATCTTTGACTCCTATTTCCTACATGAGGAGCAGGAAATGTTTCTCTTTAAAATATCTTCCTACTGTAACCCTGTTATACTAAATTAAACCCTTGCTTAACTTTAAAAAAGAAGTCATACGTATTTAGTTACTTGACATTTACTATCACTGGCTTATAAAAATATATTAACATTAAGTTTTATTACAATCTTTGAAGAAAATAATGAAATACATTGATTGGAATGATTCTTCCATTTTGTATTTGAGATAAAATCTTGATAATTGAAATTGCTACAAGAATAAAAACAAAACTTCACATTAACAAGAGCCTATGTATGCTGTCCTGGTTGGTTTACATTGGAAATAGTAGGTTATGACTGCCATATGTCTCAATTCTAGCCAGACTCTCATTCTTGATATGAAAAATAATTTTACCACCATTAAGAATTTAAGAGCAAGCATATATTGTGATTCTCTACATAGATCTCAAGTCCTATCTTAGCATAATTGGTTAACTTAGTGATTTACTCACTTAAGAAATCGGTATACAAGCCAGGCACTGGTGGCTCATGCCTGTAATCCTAGCTACTCAGGAGGCCGAGATCTGAGGATTTCAGTCCAAAGCCAGCCCTGGCAGAAAAGGTCCCATGACACTCTTATCTCCAATTAACCACTCAAAAAAACAGAAGTAGAGCTGTGGCTCAAAATGGTAGAGTGCTAGCCCTGAGCAAAAGAGACTAGGGACAGCACCAGGCCCTGAGTTCAAGACCCCATGACAAGCAAAATAAAAAAGGAAATCAGTGAACAAAAACCTCATTTGTACATAGTAATATTTAATTTAGAAACTACTATATCAGAAGACATACAATAAAACTCTGTTTAGTCTTTGGCATAATGCAATAGTAATATATTTAATAACAGCCAACTTTTAATGAATGTTTATTTATGGTTAGTACTATGCCATGTGTCATAAATGTTGCATGGGTCTTTAGAGATCTATTACTATAAGTTGTATCTTCTGTATTAGAAGGCAAGGACTAAAAAATTTTCAATATTCATTTAAAGTTAAATAATAGTGCTTAGCTCCTAAGTCAAAACTCTTAAAATGTAATTATTTACATTTATATTAATACAAAATCCAGTTGCAATAATTTACAAAGCTTTGCCTACTAAAATGATGAAATGTTTTTTCTATTTAAAACTTGGTTTCAATCTTCAGCATAAAAAAGACAGCCCATGTTTGCATGAATGACTTATTACCAACGCTAGAAAACAATGTGAATATTAATATGACATTATTGTATTGTATTGTAAATAATTAATTATAAGAAATAGCTGTTGCTCACAAAAATAATTATAAGAAATAGCTGTTGCTCACAAAGTATTTGACTCTCTGGAAAACATTTAACTGAAGTATTATACTCTTGGGATAGATATGAGAAAAAAATAGTAAAATCTAAAGAGACATCTGAAGTCATTTTAACATCCCATGTGATTCTGGCATGTATCTGTTTATTTTGCCTCTAGTTTTTATACTATTGATGACATGCCCATAAAAAGAAAAAGATATTTACAACTGAAAATATGGATCTTATTTAAACACGCATGAAAATTCCAGTTTCAACACCCAATATTTGTTGTACGTGTGTTTGTATGTGTGGCCAAAAGGCATAAATTTATTTAATGTGAAGACTAGTAAAGCTGGGTGTTTCCATTTTAAAGGGTGTTAAGCTCCCCTCTCTGTCTTCCAACTAAAATACCTTTGAAGTTCAGAGGTTTAGAAACACTTAGAATAAATGCTTATAATTAATAATACTTATCTAGTTAGGCCAGCATTTGTTAGATGTTCTAACTATAAGGCTGGAGAAACTGATTAAAGAAAAGCCAGCTGCTAACCCACTGATGTTTTGTGCCATGTCTAAACAAATGGAAAGAACACAAGAGCATACTCCAGCCTGTTTCCATTCTGTCCACCCTTGGACAAGAAGTAAAATGAGTTACACTTTTATGAAAAATTGCCTTTGTAGGATTCTTCTAGCATCTTTACGATCATATTAGAACTATTACCGCCAGAGCAGAGTAGATTAGGAACAAGAGGTATTCTTCATGGTAGAGAGCTGTGGTAGCTGAAAAAAATATTGCTAGTCTTAGCCCATTTTTGTTGTTATAACAAATCAACTGAGGCTGGGTACATTATAAAACAAGTTTATTGAGCTCACAGTTTTGGAGGTCCAAGACCACAGTGATAGCATTGGTTTTTGGTAAGAGTTTCAACAGTTACTATTTATTGCATAATGTGAGAGGAAGAGAGAAAAAGAGCCATGAAATGAAAACTTATCACAGTAATACAGGCAAATTTTGGCATTCAGAAATCCATTAATGCTATCATAGGTATGGAAGAAATGTGTATCACACACACACACACACACACACACACACACACACACACACATGTGGGGTATGGGTGTGTATATCACACACAGATGCTGAAAAAGGAACCATAAAAACTAGGCACTATTTATTTCAATTAAAAAAAGTAAGAAACCTAGAAAGAGAAACTTCCTAAATTTGTGACATCTAGTATTTAAAAAATCTGTCAAACATTAACCAAAATTGAAAAGACATAGCTACATTTCAACTAAAATTATTAGGTTATAGTCTTATGTTCACTACCACTGGTCACAGGACCTAAAGTGTTTCCCAACAGTATATGCAGGGGGAAAAAGGAGGTATAAGCATTTTCCACATATCATTACTCACACTGATAAAAAAAAATAAAGAAGCCAATAAGTATTTTAAATAAAACATTTTAATTCCAAGTATAGCAAGGTTGGTAGATATAAAATGTGTACTAGCAATGATTAAGCAGATAACAAGATATAGATTATGGGTAATGGGAAAAAAATATGATAGGACTCAAACTAGCAAGTTAAGACATAAAGCATCTACCAGGAACAAACAGGGAAATGTCAACCACTTTCAGCATTTAATGTGGGGTAATAAGGCTGTGAATGAGTGTCAGTGATGTTATGCTGAGCAGTTTAGGACTAAGAAAGAGGAGAGAGAATGTTTGAGTACTTTGCCCTTCATTAGCTCAATGGTAAACCATAGTTTGACCTGAGGTGGCTTACCTAGGACTGCAGCTCCTACTGGGAGAATCTGCGTCTATAGCACTTTGCTTGGAGATTTCATTCA